GTCCGGCCGAAGATCGCAAATCGCCGCATTCAGTGATGCAACACACAACAGCAGAAAGTCGCGGGCAGACAGGGATGCAAGGAGGTCGGGTCATTCTCGCGTCACGAAATGTCGTCTCACTCACCAGTTTTCCAATTGCTGCGCCCGGGCGGTGTCYATTCCCTTCTCACGCAACGAGTCRGCGTATCCCGTGTTGGTACCCCATGCGTTTTTGGCACTCATCTGCTTGGAMTTYGCCATTTGCGTCATGTCGAAGGATTCCAGCTTGTTCCCGCTGCCGTCTCCGGCGACACCCATCTGCCCGTCTCCGCCGTCAAACTCTTCAAAGTCGACAAAGGCGTCCCAATTTCCGGGACCRGCCCGATCGATCTGGTCCTTGGCCATGGCATTGGCCTCGCGAGACTCTTCMTCGGGAACGGGAGAAGATTCCTCCGCGGTTGGTCYCGCCAGATCCGMCGACAGATCGTCGAGATAGCCCATCAGCGACGTAGTCGACGAAACAGGGGCCTTGAGGGGCGAGAACGCAGCCACATGTGACAATGCCTGGGTGAAAAGGAGGGTCGCAATGGTAGCGGAAGAGAATTTCATGGTGTTTGGATGGAATCGATATTAATTATTATGTGCAATGACACAACAGGCAATCGAATCGAAGAAGGATGCTGTCGAAACTGATGTTGTTCTCACTRMGAGTACTCGTACCGGTAGTCGTACCGTACAGTAGGGTACCTTWCGTACTCATAAGAGACAGCGGCGTCAAGGATTACGGAGAATCGAAGAAGATGAAAGATCGTCCCGATCGAAATTCACGTGCGTTTGCCATCTGTGCAACCAAGAGAAAGAACACWAAATTTCTAAATTTCTAGCACGCATCTGCAAAGCATCAAAAAAAGACTGAACCCCGGGGTTGAGTCGTGAAACTACCATAGTACCTACGGGCATTKATTCATACRTATGAACATACCTCTTAYCAATAGGTTGGACACTGGACACGCATTCGACGATCTTCGATCTCTGTCGATTTTTCACGGTCTCGCTCCTGCGGGATCATCACCGGGTGGCAATTGTTGTTGTTGCTTCACCCTTCTTTTTCCAACAAAATTGAGAGCATCGAGTACGATACTATCGTACGATACMAGAAGGTACAGAGCGAAAGTAGCGGCCAACCAGGATCGAAATTGTTACGGGCTACCCCAAATAGAAAGAAGSCACCCAAAGAACAACCCGAGAGCATACCTCGATCGGAAGGATGACTTCCCAAGACGACAACACCGACGCAAGCAATGCCAAACCCAAGGCACCATCCAAACCGAAACTCGGCCAGCCCTCGGCATCGGAGGAATCGGCATCGAAATATCCCAACATGGGATTGTGCCAACAGATCCACAAGCTCGTTGCAAAGGCAGAGGGAGCAACGGACGGGACCTTGCAGACCGAAGTACTGACTCGCATACGGGAAGAACTGGAGAATCCGTCGCTGTACGAATCGGTCGAGCTCATGCTKGGGGTYGATACCGGGATTTGGTCCGCCGCGGACCTCGCTTCCAAGAAGGAAGCCCACCAAAAGACGGCGGAAGAACTCGAGCAGAAGGTCGAGGACGCCAAGGAGTCTGCCGGTGACATGGAGGTGATGGATGCCCGCGTGGAACTCGCTAGGTTTGCGGCAAAGTCGTTGACGGAAAACGAAGCCCTGGAGGCGTACAAGAAGCTTTTGGACCTGCCAAAGATTTCGAGCGGGAAAAAGATCGATGCCGTGATGGAATCCGCCCGGGTCTCGTCRTTCTACGGGAATACGAAGAAGGCGTCCGAATTTACCGACAGCGTAAGTATCGAACTACCGTGCCGTGGGAAAGTGCCACGGGAACACGGAGTGTGTTTGGCGTTGCACCGTGTGCGATTGGGAACAACCCTTGCAGAATCGAGTCGAAACGAATCGAATCGATTCCGTGATGCCCTCGAAGGAAGACGTCGCGAGCCCGTGTCGCGAGCCCGTGTCGCGAGCCCGTGACCACCCGCGCACAGATAAGAATGCTCATTGATGTGCTCTCTGCCCTTTTTGTCAATTGTTCTCTAGGCACAAAAGATGGCCACCGAAGGGGGTGGTGGAGACTGGGACCGTCGCAACCGCCTCAAGGTCTACCGTGGTCTTCAGCGACTCCTGGAACGAGACGTGAAAGGAGCTGCCGCCCTRTTGATTGACTGCATTGCTACCTTTTCCTGTAACGAGATATGTTCCTACCAAGATTTCATTGTATATTCCATCATGTCAAACCTCTTGCACCTCCCTCGACCACAAATCAAAGCAAAAATTTTGGATGGGCCCGAAATTCTATCGGTGGCGAATGACATCCCGGTAGTAGTAAGTAGAACGGACTGCCAATGCTGGATTGATAGMACATTGGCGTATAYATATTTATATGCATTGCTAGCATGTCGACTCCCCCTTCTCGTGAGAAAAGCTAACGCCGACGCACCTATTTTTTGAACCACTTCCCTAATTCTTCCAACAGATCAAATTGGTGCAGTCCTTATACGACTGTGATTACAAGAAATTCCTCAACGCGATGGTAGAAGTGGAGCCTATTTTGCATGGGGACCGTTACTTCCATCCACATTTGTCCTTCTGGATGCGAGAGCTTCACATTTTGGCGTACAAGCAGTTTCTGGATTCGTACCAATCGGTAACTCTCAAAGCCATGGCGGACGCATTTGGGGTAAGCATCGACTTTGTCGATTACCACGCTAGCCGATTTATTGCGGCCGGTCGCCTCTCCGCCAAGATCGATAAATACGGTGGAGTGATTCTGACCAACCGACCAGATTTGAAAAATGCACAATATCGAGAAACAATTCAGAAGGGTGATTTGCTTCTCAACAGAATCCAGAAGCTAGCCCGTGTCGTGGACTTGTAACRAAGAACAATGTTAGTCAGAAAAATAGAATTAAGAATTTAATTGCCTTGACTTTACTTGWCTTCCTTCCATTCGCAATAGCAATATWCATTGTATGGGATATCAGTTTTGCGTTTTTATTTTCAATCGMGGTGTTCAGGAATGAAGAAAGAACCTTCCAAAATTCCGGTAGGAAGAGGGAAGGGGCGGGGTGCGCCGCTATTAACAGGTKCTCCTGCAACGTTTTTGACATGCAATATGACGTATCTGTASATGTAGCACTAAGGTGAAACTTTAGTCAARGCAGTTCTGTTCTCTTTTTGAAGGGCCGCGCCAGAGGCAGCGATTATTTAACAGTTAACAAGATAAATATTTACAGATAGACATCCGATTCCCCAAATATGGATATTCCCCTCACGCGATCTGTCTTACATCAATTGATCGGTTGCGTATCAAATGTGATACAATAGTTAATGAATCTCGCACAATAAATGAATTGATGTAATCGACACATCTTTTGAATAGCTGATGTCTCATTCTTCTTTCGTTCTCATTGCCATACTTTCGCACTAATCTTCCTTTCTTCGAGCAAGTCGTGCTGATCGTCGCCCTGCAGGCGTAAACACTGTTCCCGTCTTTTGATTGATCGGTGTTCCACTTTCCGAAACATTCGCTGATTTGACGGGCGTGGAAACCGCCGATGCATCGAACTGCACCTTTGAGGCCTCTTTCTGATTCTTTCCCGACGAAACCTTGGTCAATCCAAGAGCGATGATGATTGCTACCAAACCAATCTGTTGCCCATCATCGAAAAGTGACCAAACGATATKTCGGAGAAACAGTTACCAAGTCAGCCTATTTTATGACGGGAGAAAAAAATGGAACTCGACGAAGCTAGCGGTATTCATTTCATTTCACGTTCGCGATGATTCTAACTTACAGCAATGCCCACGGGTAGTTGGAGATGTTTTGGAATAATTTGGTCCATCTCTTCGACAAATGTAGTAGTATTGTTGATAGAAAGGGTTTGAGGATTCTCCATTGTGTGATGTCTTTTTGCTTTATTTCGGATTGATGCACCGGTATGCAGGTTTCTCAAAAAAATAAGGTACRGTTGCGAAATTTTAGCCTATCAGCGCGCTTACGTTTATCACACAAGTTTTACGGTGATTCGTTCGTTCAAAAGAATCACCGTTKGTTTGTGGTATAATAACGGCTAGAGAGGGCATGCGCGCGCATCATTAGGTAATACTCATACTACCATAAAGTAGAATAGAAAGGTATCCTAATACAGTATCTTGCGTGGTCCTGAACTACTTCCTCCGTCCATGATTGATTGTCCAGTTTGCACCTACCGTACGAAGTACAGTAGTTTTGAACCATACATACATACATACGTACCGTACGTACTATACTATGGATGGATCAAGACTCCAAAACACGAATCCTGTGCGGAACGAAAGTTCCTGTTGGCATTGCATGGTACAGTACCAGGTACAGTAAGTAGTATGGTACCAGGTGCACTCATGCACATGCCATGGTTCATGATCCCTTCAGAGCACGGAGGCAGGCCAGGGACCGATGGGAGGAGTCGAATCAAACAGTACGGTACGAGGTACAAGTAACAACCACTACCAAGTACTGTACTTAGTAGTCGTACTGGTACTGGTATTCGTACTGACAAACCATCAGAGGTACCGATGAATTTGAGGCGTTCCTTCATCCCGATGCTGTTAAGTACTCGTACCGGTCCAGCAGTTGCATCACATTCATATCGAGCAGAAGCATGCAATCCAGAAGTTGCCCTCCGTTTTTCTAAAAAAAGTGTCGTCAGCAAACACTAACCCTTTTCAAAGCCCGAATAAAGTATGTCTACCGATGCTTATGGAAGGCCTCGATCGAGATCTCGATCGCGTGAACGAGAGACTCCCAGTGCTGCCATCCCGCAACAATCCATGTACCCTGGCGGTAGCGGGCTTCCTCCGGTTGGGCTGTACGGTGGAATGTCGGCGCCTAGASCTATACCCTCCTTATCCCATTTGCCTGCACTATCGGTAAGTTTGAACGGGAAAATTAACTGAAAAGATATCGCTCCCATTAAACCATAGATTGCAGTGTTGCATTCGATTAGTTCACGAAGGAAATGATATGCACAGCGCCTCGCGGTGCAGCCCATCCAGGGATAATTGGTTCGTATCTAATCCACGCCGTTTCTTTTCCAAMCTTTTACTTACGAAATACGATGTAAATCAATGAGCAGAATGCCCACCTTGCGGCCCAGGAAAAGATCAATCGGGAATTATTCGTAGGGAACACACCTCCCGGGACTAGTGAAATGTTGCTCTTGCAGTTCCTTAATGGAGCGATGCGACGAGTAAAGCTTTGCGGCGAGCAAGAAACGCCCATTCTGAATTGCAGGGTAAACTCAAAGTTTGCTTTTGTCGAACTTGTGAGTGCCGAAATGGCAAACAAGGCCCTGAATATGAATGGGATCCCGTTTTTGGGCGCTGTTCTAAAGGTCAGTCGTCCATCGAAGTAYGCCGGTCCGCACGTTCCAGCACGTACTTGGCAACAGCTGACGGGACAAGCTCTACCGGCGGGTACTGTTTTGGATGCGGAACAAGAAAAGATCAACCGAGAGCTTTTTGTTGGTAACACAACGCCGGAAATGACAGAACGAATGCTRCGAGAATTCTTGGGGAATGCCATGGAGCAAGTTGGTCTGAATGTAATGCCTGGAAACCCCATCACGTCCTGTCGTGTCTCTGGCAAGTTTGCTTTTGTGGAATTGCGGTCCCCCGAAGAAGCCGCGAATGCGCTCAATTTAAACAACATTCCATTCATGGGAGCCCAACTTCGTGTAGGAAGACCCTCGAAATGGAGTGGTCCCCCCGATAGTCATGGTAACTGGGAAGACGTTTTGGCGAAGTACATGTCAGGGGAACTACAAGCAGGGAATACAGCGCCTGGGCAAGGAGCAGCTGCGATGAATAGCAACGTTAAGGCCACTCGAGTTGTCGAACTAAAAAATATGCTGACCRAAGAGGATTTATCCGTTGAAGAGGAATACAATGAACTCGTTGAAGATACTGAACAAGAATGCAAACAATACGGACAGTTGTTGAACGTGTACATTCCAAAGAAAGGGGAGCCTGGAGCCACAAAGGTATTTTTGGAATACGCGTCCACTGAGGATGCTTCGAAGGCAATTAAGAGCCTAGAAGGACGCACGTTTGATGGACAAAGGGTGGAAGCGACTTTTTTCGACGAAACAAAATTCATGAACAAGACCTTCGATTGAATTGTATAATATGCAAATATCTTCTTTTCACCAAGCATCTTTTCATACGTTTTGTATGGATTTTACAAGAAAAATGATGTAGTAGAGTATGAAATACCTGGGTCGGTCGACATTTAATTCCGCAAAGTGCTGTTGCATCTAATACATCTCTGCCTCTCTGCCCTGCTGTTATATACGCATTAACCCATTTTAATTTGATTTACTGGAATGGATTTTCATTTCTTTTTTCTTGCAGTGAATGAACAATGAATGGTCATTCCCATAAAGCTAGATTGAAATTTAGTCTTCGGTCAGTCTTGGCGGCACACCAGGTTAGATTTTTTTGTCTCAAGTCACTATTTTCCTCTCTTGTGGATTTTTTTCTTGCATCAAATAAACAATAAACGGTCATCCCAATAAAGCTCGATTGAAATTTAGTCTTTGGTCAGTCTTGGAGGCACACCAGGGTATCGAGTCATTATTTTCCTCTTTTAGGGAAATGGGGTTTCCAGTCAACAGTGATGTGAGTGGTAAGCAGTACCTGCTAGATTTTGGATATCCAGTACGTCATGTCAGTCCATTTTTGGCCACTGCAGTTTTATGGAAATGGCTCAATATGACCATCCACACTAGTGTTCATAACCATAGCTRCGGCTGATAGTCCACAATTGTTGGCTGATCAATCAATTTGCACAACAATCAAGATGCAATGTCTTYAAAGTTTGTACTTCGTCTTACTAGTAGTTTATACAGTAATTCATAGCTCATAAGAAGAACATCAGTACTGCATTCTCTGGGACAATCATCATTGAAGATTTTACCACGCATGCTACCAGGCAATAGTCTGGCAGCAAGAATGGTAACTTGCTGGCTCTCTAAAGCAAGCATCCATTCATGTAAAGTATTGTGTATAAGGACTGAAACTCTGGGGAGGGGGCTAAGAGAWTCTTATTATTACAAAAAGAGCTRCCAGATTCCAAATAGAAATTCTACCAGGGTGCTACCAGATTGCTACCAGATGGTGCAAGATGGTAGCAATTCTAGCAGCAATTCTAGTAGCAATTCTGGCAGCAATAGTTTCCTGGAGGTGCCTGGGACTGACTCAAACTATTTTTTGTGTACCTGCAAGCTGSAAAGCAATAGTTAATTATAAGAGTAATGATGCAGGGTTAAYCAGTTAGGTTAAACAGCTGCACAAGATTATGTGTACTTTCAGTGTTAAATGCTTGATTTTGTGTGTTAAGCAGTGCCTGCTGGTTCCATTCCAGTAAGGGGTCTGCTAGTAGCCAAGGTACATGGCAGAATTGTCAATGATGATCATACCTGTTGCCATGGAAGACCTCCATTCAAGTAGCTGTTGCCCATGGTYATGAATAGGTGAGTGGTTTTTTCACTTATGGAGGAGACGCTACTAGCTAGTAGTAGGAAGGCCAGAAATAACACTTCTATGAAGAAGGATGCTCCTAGTTGCTCCAAGGGGAAGAGGATCAATCATAGTACTAGTAGTACTAGTGCTACTACTAGTAGTAGCAGTAGTAGTTTGCAGGTCACAGCATGAAGGAGCCATTTGATTGAAGTCAGAGCTTTAGAGGTAYGCATCCCTATAATTAGAAAGCAACTAGCACAATTACATATTGCAATGAGAAGTGGAGCAAATTTTTGACCTCTCTAGTAGTACTACTAGTAAGAACCAATATTGTTCCAGTGCTTTTTTCTGAGAGAGAGAGGCTGACCTTGTTGAAGGTCATTATTTCTCTATTCCAACATTAAGATATAAGAGGTGAGAAAGAATTCCACAAGGCAACCYACCAGCACAGTTGGGGAGTGAGAGCTGGAGTGAAGATCAGGGTCAATGATCCACTGAAGTGAAAGGTGGCCAGGAAACAAATGGTGTCATCCAAATTCACTCTGGAAATGAATAGCTGGGTGGAGGAATGTAGGGTATTTCTCTGGTGAAACAATTCCAGTATCCAGCCATTTGGTAAGGCAGCTGGCAAGAGTATCAGTGGCATTTGATCAGAAGCCCAGCATGGTGGCCATCTGCTGCCTCCATGAGGCAATTGTCTGGTGCTGCCATCTGAGCCAGGTTGGATGAGAATATCTGAAGATATGCTTGAAATCTTTGGGACGTGGGCAGAGACAGCAACATGTGTCTTGCCTGTGGTGATATTTCCACTGTTTGAGGACTGAGGCAGTGGCAAGTGATTGCAGCATTTAGTGACCAGAACATTCTTCCTAGAGATACTACAATTGATGAYAATCCCTAGTGATTTCCATGCARCATCTGCAAGTATGTTTGATGACCATTGATTCTTTTCTTCCACGTACACATGATAGTGTGGAAGGAGACAAGATTCAGTGAGAGATTTCTGGTATTGGCTAGTGATAGATCATGATTGAATCTGAAGGACTGCTGGGCATAAAGGTAGAACTGGTGTTATGAAATAAGGCMTTGTCATCTTGACTTGAAAAGCGCCAGCGTAGCATGTTCAGCCAAGCTGTCACTKGGAGCTCAYCAAAATCAATCTCATCATCCTGGTGGCCTTCTTTAATCCAAGAAAAGGAAGGAGAAATATGCGGTGATAGTATGGTTCAAAAMATTGTTCAATCAAGTAAAATTMTCATGCCATGGTGGCATTTGCATGTACTTCTGTGTAGTTGTATGATCCAGATGGGATTCTGGTGATGAGTGCCTTGCTGTCACTAACAAAGGTGGTAACCTGTGTTGGGTGAGGYATCAAGCTGGAAGATGAAGAGGAACTGAGCTGATCWTCATCAGGGATTGAGTCCAAGTGTGGAARATCTGTATCATCCTGTCAAGAACTGAGAACAGTCAGAGCTGCAGTCCAATCTTCACAAATTCCAATTTCATGCCAAAAACTGCAATGACTTGTACCAGTACTATTGGAATCAATTTGAGATATCAATGGAGACATTCTTACTTCTTGGTGGTGATGATGTGATGCAAGGAGTGTAACAAAGACACAGCCCAATAATAATAATCCAGTGGCCTCAGGGCAAAGAAAAYTTTCAATCCCAAAGCATGGGCCATATACATGTGCAATTCTATCCCCAGCAACCGTAGTAGCATGAGACCACCTGAAGGACATGGAGGCATTTTTAATGGATCCATCTGAGACCATCTCTAGATAATTTGTCCCTGACGCAAACACAGCCAGTGTCTGAGAGAAATTGGTCTCAAATTGTACCTGTTGAAGAAGCTTGCGTTGTCATGGATTAATGTTATGGTGTCATGGGTGGAAGTTTGCTGGCTTGGGGAAATAGATGTATTGGTTGGATCATAAAAGAAGACTTGGGAAATAGATGTACACTGGTTGGATCATATTGAAAACCTTCAATAAGAACAGGGACATGGTTAATGGGAAGGTATTTCCAGAGAAAGGTTTTGCCACATAGTCACAAATGGATGGGAAAGCTATAGTCCAATGCCTGGTAAAGTCCACATGCAGTTGTTGTTAGATGGACATGCATTCCATACACCATGGTGAGCAAGAGGAACAAGATGCCAATTACCAGCAAGCCTGTGAGCCTTGCTAAGAACCCTGCTGGTGATGGGAATGTGAGAAATACTCTTAAAGAAATTTAATAAATGCATTCCAACTTACTTCTCTGTTTGGGATTGGGCTGATATGGATACTTTGTGTGAGGATTGTAGAATTCCAAACGGTGGTCTGAAAATAGACTGGTGGGAGACAATATGTTAGTGCCAGGGAGGCACAATTCACAAGCCATAGAACTTTGAGATACATCTCGACACAATTAATCTGATGGAGTATAATGCATACATGAGCTTTTGAAATCTACCTTGTGAGCCTTGCTAGTACTAGGGCAGGTTCCATAATGGTTTTGTCACCACAACAGAGAGGCGGGGGTATAATCCTTGTTTTATCAACACTGGTGATGGTGCAATTGATAGTGGAGAGATATCTGCAAACACATTGAGAACATCATCTGCCTGGGATATATGAGATAGTACTAGTAATGGAAGGAAATTCAAGGACAGGTTTGGAGAAAACAATCAAAACCACCAGAGAACAATCCTAAGAAGATGCTTTACCTACAATGTCAGTAGATCTCCAATGTTACAAAAAATGGATAACATATCCTCTACCACCAGTGATGACTTCCAGGGGGATAAAACCTGCCCCACCAACTGCTGAAGTTGGAGCTTGGAGAATTGCCTTAGCAGTTTTTCTGACAGAACTGTTTTGTAACAAAGCATTCTTGCTGTATGTCAATTTGGGGACAATCATCATTGGATTGCAGAGCAAATAAAATCTGCTTTGGAAAGTAGTGCAGAAAAATGACCTGTTGTTGATGCCATCTGAAGTACTAACAGTGCTAGTGGTATTACTACTACTTGCAGTACTAGCTACTAGTAGTACTACTAGTGGTACTAGTAGTAGTACTAGTACTACTACTAGTACTATTAATACTTCTAGTACTCCTGCTGCTGCTATGCAATCCGATACAAAGTACTTATTTTTTATGTTTGCAGGAACAAACCAATGAATTGTGACAAAAGAAAATCAATACTATTTTGATCAATTGTAGTCACATTTTACAAGAAATAGGATTCAGGAATTTCCACCTTTTTGATTTGGGGTTGGAGGGGGGCTGGGGAGGAGGAATTGGCATGTTTTTTCTCCCTTGGAGTAAAGTACCAGTTTAAGCAGAATAAAAAACAGCCAAAATTAACAATTTTTGGCCACCCTACTACTGTAACTTTGGCTGACTAGTTCTAAGCCTGTAGAGCATCCTTTGGCTTCCCAATGACCTGGATCTCTAGTAAGAAGTAGTAATTGTATCATCTTGGTCTGGGCCCTTAGTAGTCTGGTGGTCTAAAGTTGTTTTTTGATAGAGTTCTGGCCTATTCTAACCAGTAGCTGGTCTCCACTGGCCAAATTTGGCCATATCAGCTGTTAATGGAGAACTGGCTCCCCCAAGGCCTATAATCGTGTAACAATGACACATGGCACTGGTGTTCCCAACACTACTACTAGTACTACTAGGAAGCTTTTCCCCAAAGAACAGTTGCTCTCAGGCCATACCAGAGCAGTTCTAAATGTCCTAATACACTGTTTGTGGTCAAAAAGTGACCAAAAATTAGTAGATCTTTGTAGGATCAGTATGAAATACTGCTGGGCTTCAAAATTAACCACGATTTTACTAGTACTAGTAATAATTTTTCTGTTTGAATAGAATGTTTTCAGGCTCTGTACAATTTAGAACAAGGCTTCTACGATTAATGCATTTTTTATTGCTTAAACTGGTACGGTTCGTACAAGTTATTTCGATATAAAATTACAGCCAAAATTAATGCGCAATTTTCACCCACCCACTACTCTACCTTTGGCAGACCAGTTCTAAGCCGCCAGAGGAGCATCCTTAAGCATCCCAATGACCTGGAACACTAAGTAATTGCATCATCTTGGTCTGGGCACTTAGTCTGGTGGTGGTCTAAAGTTGTTTTTTGATAAAGATCTGGCCTATTTTCTAACCAGCAGGCGGTCTTGTAAACCAGCCAATTTTGGCCATACCGGCTGTTAATGGTGAATCGCCTCCCCCCAGGCCCTTAATCGTGTAACAATGACACATGGGGCTGTTCCCAGCAATACTATTAAGAAGCTTTTCCCCAAAGGGGATCTCATCACCACAAGCCTTTCCGGAGCTGTTGTGTTTAGCTTATTTTACCTCATTGAGCTGTTTGTAGTGGTAAAAGTGACCAAAAACTAGTAGATTTGCAGATCTGTGTAGGACCAGTACTAGAATATTTTGCTTCAAAATTAACCGTGATTTTACTAGTAATAATTTTTTCTGTTGGAGTAGATTGACATTGAGGTCTCTAGGCCCTGGTAGGATTTTACTGTTAACGCATTTTACTTCGAAATAACTGGTACTCGTAATGCGGGATGGGACAACGAGAAAGGAATTTTCAACCAACAATGACGGCTCGCTTTTACGATCGACTACGAACAGATTTTTTTCTCATTCGTGAATTCTCATCAGATGACGACTATCACGTGGCCAAACAAAGGAAAGTTCTGATTCGATTTCCTCCTATCCGTTAAGCATTGGTTCGCCTGTTCGCT